TTTTTTTTCAAAGTATATAAGGTCAACATTATATAGCAAGTGAACATTCCACCAGCAATTATTTTCATTAACCATTTCATCCCTATTTATCTCAAGTGAACTTTACCATGCATTGATCTGGATAAGTCCATTGTGATTTACAGTGGTGAAAGGGTGAAGTCAACCAACTGTTTTAAAACTAAGTGATAACACCGACACCTTAGTATTATACCTTACCCTTAGACTGTATCTTTTCCAGATTCGGGGATATAATGACACACTTGATCTTCTTCAGTTTAAGGTGTTTGGTTACCTCCCTTAGACCTAGTACGAGTCTCCTTTTAGACTTGGCCTGAAATGAAAATATTGTTCAATTATTATACTATTTTTCAATCATTTTCTAGATATTACATGAGGAGGGAGGCACTTATGACTGACAATCCATGTGGGATAAGGGGATGTTGGTGTGTGGGTCTACATGCAACAGTATTTGTCAACATTTGTTTGCACACTTTTAATGGGGAAAAATATCATAGATGGTTGGGATCACAGTAGTGTCCAAATGCTCCATGCAGGCCATATACATTTTTCTGCTCCATGCAGGCCATATTTATTTTTCTGCTCCATGCAGGCCATATACATTTGTCTGCTCCATGCAGGCCATATACATTTGTCTGCTCCATGCGAGCCATATATATTTGTCTGCTCCATGCAGGCCATATATATTTGTCTGCTCCATACAGGCCATATTTATTTTTCTGCTCCATGCAGGCCATATTTATTTTTCTGCTCCATGCAGGCCATATATATTTTTCTGCTTAACTCTTGTCAAATTTTCAATTCATCTCTTGTTGACCATCTATCAGAGGTTTTCTTGCTCAGTTCCAAAACTACAACTTGAACTTCAACACATTAAAAGGAATGTTACTGGTATTTCATCAGAGTATCAAGAAATATTTTGGTTCAACATAGAGTTCTCCCACAACCACTATAGGTTTCCTTACTCCAGACTCATAGGATAAACTTACAACGAGCTGCTTAACATATTTGGTTATACCCACCAGCTGGTGAAAGAAACTCTGGATGTAATGTCATGTCGATCTTCTAAACATGACGTCACTTCTCAATGCTTTGCGAGTTCGTCGTATGAAGTCATAATTCCTGGCAATTGTTTCCCAGATCAGAAACAACCTGTCTATAGGAACCACTGTCTATAATGAATGTTTTAATAAGTCAGCTGAGTGGTCACTATAGACAGGTTTTATTATATTCTCACTATCAATTTTAGAAGTCATTGCTGAACCAAACTCTGTACAAATTTGGGTAGATTAATATAATCATCCCCTACCTTGAGGGTGTGATAGAGAAATCTCCAACCCTCAGGGAGACGTTTTTTTGGTTGTCTAACCTGAGGCTCTGCTGAGGGTTAAACAACCAGAAAAAATCACCCCGAGGGTCGGAGATTTCTCTGTTACACCCTCAAGGTAGGGGATGATTATTTTTCTCCCATCCTATTATTTCAGTCACAGTTCCACCGACAGTAGTCTGCCATGTTTGTAAACAAAAAACACAGGTGGGGTATGCATATCTTCATTCACTTTGGATGAAGTCATAATTACCGGCGACACATTTTAATGACGTCACAATTGAACACGTGCTAATCGGCACGAGGCTATATCTCCCCTTAGGGGGTGACAAGCTGATCTTTCCCGGCCAAAACGGCAGACACACCTGTGAAGGATAGGAGAAAAGATTATCTTTCCCGGCTAAAACGGGAGACACACCTATGAAGGGTGGGAGAAAATGTATTCCCATGAGAAACGTAAGGTTTTCAAGATATAAGATCTGAAAGTTGATGGTTGATTATTATGTACATCCACCTCTGGTTGGTTGATTTCCGAATTGTAAAAGACACTTGATGATAAACTTCATGTCTTTATACAATTTGAAAGTTAAAAACTTGAGTTAGTTCAACATGATAACCAACCATCACTCGTTGGGGAACCTCTATGCACAAGTAGAGCTATATACCTGGTTGGGGTAAGGGGCTTGGGGAAGAAGTTTGGGGAGGGGACTAGGGGTGGGGGTAGCTAGAGGAGGGGACTAGGCTCGTAACTGGGGGAGGAGATTGTGATTGGGGACTGGGGTTGGGACTGGGACTTAGGGAGATGACAGGGGTTGGGGAATCTTGTTTGGGGATTGGGGAAGGGGACTTGGGGAGGGGGCATTGGGAGAGGACTGGGGGAGGGGACAGTGATTGGGGACTGGGGTTTGGACTGTGGAAGGGTATGGAGATGGGGATTTGGTGAAGTGACTGGGGAGGGCGCTGAGGGAGAGGACAGGGATTGGGGACTTTGAGTTTGGGGACTGGGGGCGAGGCCTTTGGGCGGGGACTCCACAGGTACTGACCTTATTAGGTTCTTTGTGATAGACACGGTCCTGGAAGCGTACAAGGTCCTGGAGGAGTGCAGTACAACAGCTGTCTATATCCTTGTTTAGTACCTGGTTACAATACCTGTAACAATCATATATAAATAGCATACATTGATATTTCTCTCATTTCCATGTGTGTAAGATAGAGCTGTCCAGGGTAAGAAAGGGGAGTAGAAAATTTCATGTGACATGACGTCACAATGGCTCAACAATGACGTCACAAATTTGGAAAATCTCTGATGACGTAATGCGGAAAAGGCATTGTGATGAAATTAAAACCTATTACGATATATTTACCCCTCAGGTTAGACATATGAGTGTTTGCAAATATGGAGTATGCTTAATCTGACTGACTGATTGGTTTTGGTCTAAAAAGACAGTCCAAATACATTTTCATGGTTTTTGATCTTATTCTGGTAGTTGGAACGAGAGAAAAATACTATCATGGCAAAGGGTATAGGATAGGGAAATGTCACCCTCTGGATTTCCCTATTCTACACCCTTGCGTGAAAATTATGATTAAAAATAAGAATACACCTTTCTAAAATGTAGAAAACTGCTTAAAATAGGATATAATGCTTGATAATTGTCGAAATTTTCCTAAATCTTTACCATATTTTTATGTCAGTAGTTACTTTAAGTCCCGGGGACTGTCCCCTACTTCTGATGTTTCGTGCTGTAGATCGCGATGTTTCCTATCAGGAAATCTGAGACTAGCTACATTGACGAAGGACTAAATAATCTCTTCAACTAGTCCTGTGGACTACCAAGCAAAACAATTTAGTGTCTAACCCTGATATTATTAACTTCCGTGGTCGGGTGGCATAGTGGATAGTGCTATTCCGTCTTTGCGTATTGCAGAGTTTTCTGCACTTGTGAGCAGGTATTGATTGTTCCGTCATTTGTTTGTGAGAGTAACGTCATCAATTTTTGAGAAAATCACGTAATTTTCTCACACAAACCAATGACGTAACAATCAATACCTGCTCACAAGAGAAGATAACTCTGCAATACCCAAAGACGGAATTGGGGACGTGAAAAGCTATAGGACCACCTGTTACACCATGTTGGGTGTTTTTCTGAGTACCCACGATTTCCTCTCACATTATCAAGACCTTCCGTGCATTTCCATCCAGGTCAACAAGCAATTAATGTAAGTTAGAAAACTTGTTTCACAATTGTTGAAAATTAAATAAAGTTTAAGTATTTATCTACTGTAAAATTGGACACTTTTGTATATTGACGTCTGATCACGAAATCAAACCCAGGCTGTCGTAATAAAGGCGAGTAAGACTTCTTCTTCACCACTCGACCACCCAAATATCTAACTTAACCCTGACCTTTCACCCCTAGGTAACTTTAGTAGACTCTACCATACATTGATCTGGATGAGTCCATTATGGTCTATAGTGGTGAAAGGGTTAAACAATCGTTTGTTGTTTCTTTATCCTGCGATGACTTGTGATTAGTATGAAATGAGGTATAACAGGACTGGTGAAATGTTCGTTTAAAAATTTTCAAACAAGAGGCCCAAGGGCCTTAGCGGTCACCTAAGTTATATCATAGGTACTGGTAGCTTTATTTTATTGTTTAGATGTGATGTGGAAATCAGCATGTAAACTAAGTGAAATACAATACTTGTCATATCATCAAAGGATAAGAATTTTAAAATATTGGTAAATGTTCCCTCTGGGGCCCTCCTCTAGCCCCTGGGGATGGGGCAGGAATTCCAATTGTACAATGTAATACCCTCATCCACCAAAGACGATTCTGACCAAGTTTGAATAATGAAAATGGATAAAATATACCCAATAGTGTTATTTCCCTATATAAACTATAGTAAACTTTACCCCCTCCCCAAGGGAGAACGGATAGCTTGGGGGTCCTGAAATTTACAATTTAAATAAAGTCCCTGATGATCTTTCTTTTTATGCACTGAAATTGAATGTAGTACCTCATAGCCTGGAGAAGAAGATTTTTGAAATATTGGTTAATTTTCCATTTGGGGCCCCACCCTAATGGCCCAGGGGTTAGAGTAGGAATCCCAATTTTACAATTTTGTAGCCTCACCTACCAAGGCTGATTCTGACTAAGTTTGCAAAAAATCCATCCACTGGTTCTTGAGAAAGTTAAAAATGTAAAAAGTATATGCACGTCGGACGACGACAGACGGAAAGCGATTAGCATAGATCACTTGAACAAAGCTTAGGTGACCTAAAAACACTTACTCTCTGAATCGTCTGCTGTGTATTTTGAGCACAGCCTCCTTGCCAATAGTTCCGGCGATGGGACTGCTGACCTCTGAACTCAAAGGGCTGGCCCCAGGGGACAGGGGGCTCATACTGATGGGTGAGGTCTGGCTTATAGGGGAAAGGTCATTACTGGCAGGGGTCGTGACCCCATAATCAGCTGAACCTTTAAAGCTATAGGCTGTAAAATGAATAAAGAAATTTTGAACATTTTCACGATGATACTGGAAATTTATTTATTTTTAATATTGTTAATACACTCTTAACTTCTGAAATATTTCATGTTTAACTTTCTTTCTGAAATAAGCCTTCTTTGATAAAAAAAAAAGTATTTTTCTCAAATTTCCAATAAATAAAGATTTTTAAATGCACATGCTAACTAGTATAATGTATTTGCATTATATTTAAAACAAATAATTTGTACATTAGTTTTATTGATTGGATTGATCATCATAGTTTTTAGAAGGCATGACTTTTACTGGAAATTTTTCTCTCGATATTTGCAAACAAAAAACCACCATGTTTTTATTTAAATCAGGTCATACTATCATATTATTCTAACAAGTATCAAATACAGATTGTATACTTGCAGGTAGAAGTGAAGTTCCTTGATTGCCGAAGCAAATTTTGTGCATAATAATTAAGTAACATTTACTTGAAGCCAAATTGCACTCAGGTGAGCGTATAGCACTGGTTTGATCAATGAGATACGGCATGAGTTTTTGTAGAAGAGTTTCCGATTCCATGAGACCTTACACTTACCGTCCTGAGACAGGTCACTCTCAGCACTGATGACTCCTATACCCATGGGTACACTGCAAACACATATCAGTAAGAATTTAAATGATACATTTAATTAAGTCATTTGAAAAAAAAAAAAAATCCAAATCTTAAATTTTTAATATTTTTTTGGTCTGACATAACATTGATCAAATGGAAGTGACTTGAATCTCTATCACATTATCCATACATATTTCATAATTCCTCTTGGACTTTACCATTTCTAAATCAACAATATCTTTATCAAGGATCCGATCCCTGTGCCACTGCAGGCTGAACACTAGACAATTCCATAATTGTAGATTAAGGTATGTACAGTAACCTCCCCTTAGTCAACTCTTCAGGTCTGCATTTTAGAATCCTTGCCAAGATGTCATGTAAATACCACCCTTTTATTTGTTCAATTATGTGCACATTGCTTGCTTGGTATAAAAGTGATTGTAAGCCTTTGTTTTTTGTTTTCACAATTATAACCATAACTATTATCCATATGTTGTAAAGCGCTTTAGAGTAATTTTACTAATTATATAGGGCGCTATATAAATGTTGTATATTATTATTATTATTTAGTTTCATTTTGGCTATACTTAATTGCACCATGACTGGGCCAGGGTACTTCAGTTTACAAGCTGGTTGGTTTGAATAACAATATAATAAAGGGAAGTCCAGGGTCTGGTCTCGCTCTGTTGAATTATTTCACTCATGGAAGTTCGGCAAAGTCTTGTTTTCTTTTAAGAAAAAAATTATCGAATCTATGGTCATTCCGTAATAAAAGGTTTCAAATTGCATTGTTCGGTTAACGGCAGTGGTACACGATCCATAATTTTTCGAAACAAAATTGTTTAATAAGTTAAGATATAGGGGAGGGGGTGGAGCACACAATAAAGGCCTAGGGTCAATAAGTTTCAATATAGTACCTATTTTTAGACTAGTACAATAATCATAACGTATAAAGTAAAACCTCACCCTGGATTGCCAGGGACGGAGTCGTCCAATAGTCGTAACTTTTTCTTTTCTTCTCGCTCCTTCAGGATCACCTGTAGAATAAACACTGACTTACGTAAGATCATGTTTACAATGAACATATCATAAATGAATAAAACATGTTTTTGTGACAACCTGTCTATAGGAACCACTGTCTATAATGAATGTTTTAATAAATCAGCTGAGTGGTCACTATAGACAGGTTTTATTCTATTCTCACTTTCAATTTTAGAAGTCATTGCTGAACCAAACTCTGTACAAATTTGGGTAGATTAATAGAATCTTCCCCTACCTTGAGGGTGTGACAGAGAAATCACCAATCCGAGGGGGTGATATTTTCTGGTGTGGAGATTTCTCTGTTACACTCTCAAGGTAAGGGATGATTATTTTTCTCCGATCCTATTATTTCAGTCACAGCTCCACCGACAGTAGTTTGCCATGTTTGTAAACAAAAACACATGTGAGGTATGAATATCGTCATTCACTTTTGATGACGTCACAATTACCGGCAACACATTTTAATGACGTCACAATTGAACATGTGCTAATCGGCACGAGGCTATCTTCCCCTAGGGGGTGACAAGCTGATGTTTCCCGGCTAAAACGGGAGACACCTGTGAAGGGTGGGAGAAAAACTCCGTATATATATGTATATAGTACCATTCAGTTTTTTTGTCAGTTACATAGACACTGTGTATCAGGTAACCTTCGCCAAGTAAAATATTCGTTCTTTGCCGATGACGTAGTGTTATCTTTGCCGATGACATCCATTGATGACATCCATGTTGACGTAGTGTTATCTTTGCCGATGACATCCATCAATGACATCCATGTTGATGTTGTGTTAGCTTTGCCGATGACATCCATCAATGACATCCATGTTAACGTAGTGTTATCTTTGCCGATGACATACATGTTAACGTAGTGTTATCTTTGCCGATGACATCCATTGATGACATCCATGTTGACGTAGTGTTACCTTTGCCGATGACATCCATCAATGACATCCATGTTAACTTAGTGTTATCTTTGCCGATGACATCCATGTTAATGTAGTGTTATCTTTGCCGATGACATCCATCGATCACATCCATGTTAACGTAGTGTTATCTTTGCCGATAACATCCATCAATGACATCCATGTTAACGTAGGGTTATCTTTGCCGATGACATCCATGTTAACGTAGTGCTATCTTTGCCGATGACATCCATCGATGACATCCATATTAACGTAGGGTTAGATTTGCCCGTCACATGTAACCACCACTACATATTGTATGTCATCCATGTTGACGTAGTGTTATCTTTGCCGATGACATCCATTGATGACATCCATGTTGACGTAGTGTTACCTTTGCCGATGACATCCATCAATGACATCCATGTTAACGTAGTGTTATCTTTGCCGATAACATCCATCAATGACATCCATGTTAACGTAGGGTTATCTTTGCCGATGACATCCATCGATGACATCCATGTTGATGTTGTGTTAGCTTTGCCGATGACATCCATCAATGACATCCATGTTAACTTAGTGTTATCTTTGCCGATGACATCCATGTTAACGTAGTGTCAGCTTTGCCGTTGACATCCATGTTAACGTAGTGTTAGCTTTGCTGGTAACATCCATCAATGACATCCGTGTTAACGTAGTGTTATCTTTGCCGATGACATCCATGTTGACGTAGTGTTATCTTTGCCGATGACATCCATCGATCACATCCATGTTAACGTAGTGTTATCTTTGCCGATGACATCCAAGTTAACGTAGTGTTATCTTTGCCGATGACATCCAAGTTAACGTAGTGTTATCTTTGCCGATGACATCCATGTTAACGTAGTGCTATCTTTGCCGATGACATCCATCGATGACATCCATGTTAACGTAGGGTTATCTTTGCCGATGACATCCATGTTAACGTAGTAGACACTGTGTATCAGGTAACCTTCGCCAAGTAAAATATTCGTTCTTTGCCGATGACGTAGTGTTATCTTTGCCGATGCCATCCATTGATGACATCCATGTTGACGTAGTGTTACCTTTGCCGATGACATCCATCAATGACATCCATGTTGATGTTGTGTTAGCTTTGCCGATGACATCCATCATTGACATCCATGTTAACGTAGTGTTATCTTTGCCGATGACATCCAAGTTAACGTAGTGTTATCTTTGCCGATGACATCCGTGTTAACGTAGTGTTATCTTTGCCGATGACATCCGTGTTAACGTAGTGTTATCTTTGCCGATGACATCCGTGTTAACGTAGTGTTATCTTTGCCGATGACATCCATGTTAATGTAGTGTTATCTTTGCCGATGACATCCATCGATCACATCCATGTTAACGTAGTGTTATCTTTGCCGATAACATCCATCAATGACATCCATGTTAACGTAGGGTTATCTTTGCCGATGACATCCATGTTAACGTAGTGTCAGCTTTGCCGATGACATCCATGTTAACGTAGTGTTAGCTTTGCTGGTAACATCCATCAATGACACCCATGTTAACGTAGTGTTATCTTTGCCGATGACATCCAAGTTAACGTAGTGTTATCTTTGCCGATGACATCCAAGTTAACGTAGTGTTATCTTTGCCGATGACATCCAAGTTAACGTAGTGTTATCTTTGCCGATGACATCCATGTTAATGTAGTGTTAGCTTTGCTGGTAACATCCATCAATGACATCCGTGTTAACGTAGTGTTATCTTTGCCGATGACATCCATCGATCACATCCATGTTAACGTAGTGTTATCTTTGCCGATGACATCCGTGTTAACGTAGTGTTATCTTTGCCGATGACATCCATCGATGACATCCATATTAACGTAGTGTTAGATTTGCCCGTCACATGTAACCACCACTACATATTGTATGTTGTGTACTGAACTTTGCTGTCATGATAAATACGCACACATGGGGGACGGCGAAAAAGGCGAACGTTTAACTGTGGTAATTTCCCGAGATACAGTAATGATTTAGGAATTATGTGAATTTTCAGTTCAGTGCTATATATTTTTTTATTTTTTTTTTAAATATTTCCAAATATCATGGAAAAAGTTAAAGACAAGTGGTTGCGACCCAATACCTTGTTTATATAATTTTATTTTAGTAATAATTATAATAAGAATTTGAGGTTCTTATATACCGCTTTATTACAACCTAGTTTGTAGGTCGTCTCAAAGCGGTTCACAAATTATTATCCCTGGTTATAGGGTCTTTATAACCAGGGATAATAATTATGTAGTTATATATAGGGCCTTTGAAACAAGCCAATATCTTTCTCAACACCCCGGGGAGAATACAACCGGTGCTGCCATTTCGGCGCTCACAGCTAGCATTCTACAATTCTAGCACTTTCCAACCATGTACTCATTTACAGCTGAGTAGATTGGAACAAGCAGAGTAAAGTATCTTGCTCAAAGATACAACACAGTGCGGTGCAATGACTCGAACCCGCAATCCTTCGGTCATGAGCTCAGCGTCCTACCACTAGACTACTGTGCCTCCTGGTAGGTCAGATACTGTATTCCTTGGCTATTACAGGTGCGTTATAGACAGGATAATACAGACACGAAGTAGCTGAAGACATAGTACAGGTGGTAGTCATATTATATAGAATGGAAACTTTACCTTTTTGAGGGGACTGGGTTTCTTCGGTTTTGGGTTTTCCCTTTCCTTTCCTCTTTTTAACATAGGTGCACTAGCATCAAGCATGTTGTGTGGTCGCACACCCTTCTGTGGAAAAGAAATGTTGCATAATCTTATTTATCAATGTCACCAAGGCAACATAACTTACATATTATCATTATTTACTATGTACAATATTGACAGGAAATAAGTGGGTTTTTTTCAAATCGCACAAAAATTGTGGATATTAGAACAAAATTAATATTTAATCAATATCATGTATGTAATTTGTTGAACACTTTTTGAACTATTAAAACTTTTTCTAGTTCATATAAAACTATATTCTGGAAAAAAATACAATTGATTTCAACATTTCTTTTTGTATTAACTCATTCACCCTGAAATTCTATGATGAACTATTCCAACCAGTGAATTGGAAGTGTCCAAACGTGTCTTCAGGGGTGAATGAGTTAAAGAGCTGTAAAATTTGAAAAAGTTTCATTCTTGTTATGCAAAGTTCTAGAATTATGGGTTCAGGTTTTTTTTTATTAACAGGGCATATTTGCTTGTGTCAAAAACATTTCGAAACACGAAAATCCATTCTCAAACTGTTTACAAGTCATTCCAAACGTCTTCTCCAGTACACTGTATTCTCACACTGACAACCCATGATAATGTACCTACATGCTACCAGTAGGTGGTATAAAGTGGTATATAGATGGTAATGGGTTTTTTTCGACAGACACACTGAACCATTTAACTTAAGGTATACCTGATCTGTACTTTTCTTCACTTTAGGTTCTACAGAAACAGAGACCTCTTTCTTCTTTGGAACTGGAACATCTTTCTTTTTCTGAAATAAAAATAATTACATCTTCTGGTAAATGAAAAGCATAATATTTGTTTTTGATTCTCACATGGAGTAATTTGTGTGTATTGTACCATTAATATATTAAGGTAGAGTGAGAGTAGATACAAATTAAACTATTGTTGCGTTGAATTTTACAGAATTAAAGCTGGTCGAAATTTTTGTGCCAACTCTACTGATTACAAAAGACAGACAAATAAGCTACATTGCAAATAATATCAACAATGTTACAAATGTACTGTACTAAGCTGTATAAACCCCACACTCAACACTTCTACCCCTTCTGGTTCCAACGTCCTATACCCTTGCCATGTTTTACCAGCTGATAATTTAAGCTTTTTTGAAGAAACTGATTTTTGTCTTCTTAAATACTTTTTAAAGATTGCTTCATTCACCCAGAAAGTTAATTCTGATGTTAAGAGAGAAAACAAGGTTATCGCAAGCGGTATATAATACGCCCGTCACACATTGAATGAGCAGTTGTTTGTATGATTGAAATATATGAAGTATTTGTGAGTAATTGATATTAAAAGAGAAATCATTCAACATAACTGGTAGATCAATGAGTGCAATATAACAGCATGCAACGCATGCATTNTACATCTTCTGGTAAATGAAAAGCATAATATTTGTTTTTGATTCTCACATGGAGTAATTTGTGTGTATTGTACCATTAATATATTAAGGTAGAGTGAGAGTAGATACAAATTAAACTATTGTTGCGTTGAATTTTACAGAATTAAAGCTGGTCGAAATTTTTGTGCCAACTCTACTGATTACAAAAGACAGACAAATAAGCTACATTGCAAATAATATCAACAATGTTACAAATGTACTGTACTAAGCTGTATAAACACTCAACACTTCTATCCCTTCTGGTTACAACCCGCCCGCTCACGTGATAACATAATACGTCCCTGTCTTCGACGGGCGTATAAAAACGGTTTCTGAAGTCTAAGACTTAACTACCACCATACACATACCACACAGATTCCAAAATAAAATTTTATGAACTCAAACTTCTAGAGATTCGAGTGTGGAGTTAACCATTAAGGCTCCACCACCAATACTGAACATGTATACAGGAAATTAACGTCCGGTCAAACTTTCACCGTTCACCTGCGAAATCCAAATTCACTCAGTGTTAGTTTCGCCTTTCACATTTAATTGACTATGTAATATGTCGCTGACTTATATTTGCTGTAATGATAAATGCCTCCAAAAGGCAAAACAGACGTACACTTAAACTGCAGTAAAAAAAAATATGATAAGCAGGACAATTAGTATCCTTACCTCTAAGGCATCAATCATTGCACCCAAGTCTAATGCTATTGTCTGTTTGGATTTCTTCCCCGAGGGAGTTGTGGCTAGGGGAGTAACATTAAGGAGGCCTGGCTGAGGAGCTGGGGTCTCCTTAGCACTTGTTGTCCCCTTTTGGGCCCCCTTCTGAGCCAGTTTTTTAGCTGCGGCAGGTTTGAGGTTGAGCTCTCGTAACATGTCCTGTTCGAGTCCGATCTCGGCAAGTTCCTCCTCGGCTGCTTGGTTCATCATCTCCCGACGTTTCCGACGTTTTCTGCTTACTCGTGACTCTGCTGTAACAAAAAGAGTCAAATGGGATTATCTTACTATTTCATACATGTTTGTCATACTGCAAAGAAAAATGTCGCACGGTGATTGGTCAAATTGCCAAGGTACCTGAAGCTATGTTAGTATCCTTGCTGGGGTACATAAGAGCATGCGCGCCTGTTGTAAGGGAGATAACTCGAAGATTTGAATTGAACACACCGGAGAATGTTCGTCTGCTAATGTCAACAATCAACAATATGGCGAAACGGTTTTTCAAAAATCAATCGTTACAAGTTGTTAAGGAACTGAGTTGTTATTTAATGTTGTTTCAAAACCATATTGTTGACTTATTATAATTTAAAAAAATATTATATTGTTCGAATTATACAAAAAATGCTTTTTCTGTTTTCTCGTACTACCGCCCTACACAGTATCTGTTTTCAATGGCTTTGCAGTATGACAAATTCGTTATACAGGTCTTTGGCAGGGTACATGGTCTCATGTTCGCTGTCAGGACCTTATGTACCCTGAGCTGAAGGCGAAGGTACATAAGGTCCTGACAGCGAACATGAGACCATGTACCCTGCCAAAGACCTGTATAACTAATAATATATATGCTCCAACTAAAGGATCCCCGTTCCACTGATAACAAGCCATTCAGATTGATATGTCCATCAATGCACATGTCAAGTTTGGTTGGTCTAGAACTTATAGTTTCAGAGAAACCAACTTAAATGCAAAACCTTAATGCTGATGGAGATGCTGACTAAGTCAATGGACCATGTGAGGTAGGCTGCATCCAGCATTTGATGCATGGGTTTAGATGTACTACCTATATGATGCATCTATGGTGCAAGTTTGGTTGCGGTAGCACTTATACCGTAAGTGAAACTAACTTAAACGCAAATACTAAATGTTTTGATGCCGGACGCTGCTGGAAAAGCAACGCCTTTAGTCTCGCCTCCGCTACTTTGTGGCGGCAAGACAAAAATTGAAACTGTACATTCAAACTCCCCCCCACCTCTCCCTTCATCCCTGCATGACTATGGCTTTCATAAATGATTTCTATAAAGAAAAACTTATAGTGCAGACCAGTATTAACTCATTCACCCCTGAAGACATATTTGAACTCTTCCAATTCAAAGATTGGAATAGTTCATTATGAAATTTAAGGGGTGAATTAGTTTAGGAAAAATAATAAGGATGAAATGAACAACAGTGTTCTTTGAGTAAAATTCCTCACTTATCTCCCCTACTTTTCCATACCTGATTCAGTTACCTCCCTTGCTTTACTCTCTTTCAATAGTCTTTCATTCTGTTGAAGCTGTGTTTCATCAAATGTCACAACATGTTTTTTCTGAAATACAAAAATGAGTTTGAATAAAACAAATATTTGTCACAACATTAAATGTTTATACATAAAAATAAAAAACACGATATTTACTGGTACAACATTCCAAACATTATCTTGTCTGTTACTGAAGATTCGCTCCTTAAATAGAATTCAATAAAAATATATCTGTTAACCCTTCCACCCCTATGCAAATTTGGTAGACTCTCCCATGCATTGATATGGATGAGTCCATTATGGTCTACAGTGGTGAAAGGGTTCATATTCGTGTTTCAAAATTTGAACGAAAGAAGATTGTTGCTTAGCCTTCAACTGTCTTCTGTTGAAAATTTTCCACTGATAAATCGAATGACTTAATGACCTAAGCAAATAAAAATATGAAGTATGTATAAAAAGATCAATCACTCACAGCTTTGAGAATGGAGCTATAAGAAGGTGGGCCAGACATACTGCTGGTAGTTGTCATAGCAACGGGACTAGAACTTGAATATTCCATTGATTTGTTGATAGTTGTCTCCCTTGAATTGCTCATATTTCCACCACTAGGGTGTAACACATGAGCTGTCCTATCACTTTTTTGTATGTTATCTAAATCCATGCTGTCACTATCAATAAAATGATTTTGTTCCCTGGAAAGAGTTGTCTCTCTTGATGACAAAGTCTTTTCCCTTCCCAGAGATGAAGTTCGCTCTCTTGAAGGTGAGCGAGTTTGAACACTTCCCAACAAATCTGGGAATTCTTCCTCGTCTTCAAAATGTAACTCAACATCCTCAACTGCATGTGAAATATTGGAATCCTCATTTATCTTTTTCTTCGTTCGTTTCCTATTTCTTTTTCTCTTTTTCTTTTCACCAGGCAATGCTTCACTTTCCCCAACATTTTCTCTATTTTTACTCTCATCAGCTTTTTCAACAGATTTTGAACTATATGTACTAGTCACTGATTTCTTGGCACTTGGAGTTATTTCCCCTGAGACAGTCCTGGAACGTTCACAGTTACTTGATATATCACAGACATTTGCACTTTGTGTGTTTTGTGGTTGAACACTAGGTTTTGGACTAGGCACTTTTTGAGCAATCATGGCATAGCTCATTTTTTGCTGCGAGACAGCAGTAGGAGTCACTGCATTACTCTGTTCTGATTGGACAGAATTTTGAATGCTTTGTGTCTGTCCTGGTCGGAGTGAATTCAATGTATTCTGCCCTGATTGGCCACTATTTGATATGCTATTCCCTGATGGAGTAGATTTGGATACAAACTGTCTTTGTCCTGATTGGTTAGAATTTGATATACAAGGTTCTGAGTCCGCAGAATGTGGAGTGAAGCACATAGTTTGGATACATTCCGCTGGCTGTGTGCCCACACTGGATACCTGACTTCTTTTGTGTAGCGGACTACTGTAGCCACTGTCAGAGTCCAACTCCGAATCACTGCTATACAGTGATCGGCTCCCATGATTGTTTTGAGGCGAGTAGAAGGGACATGGATACATTGATAAGGTTTTGTTGGCAAACCTATCTGGGAATTCTTAAAAAAAAAAAAAAAAAAAAACAACAATAAACACCATTCAAAAATGTTTAACATTTACAAAATGCTTATAGCCTAAGCTGAATCGACGTCAATTTTGTTTTGCCAACTTACTTTGCACATTTTTGTAAATATGCTTCACTGGTCATTTGTCTGATGTATGCGACATGTCAATCATAAACACTTATTGGTTGTTCTACCTGAACATTTTCACAATTCATACAATTGCAAACCATCAATTTATTTGTATGTGTGAGTGTTTATTATATTATGTACAAATTGAATGTCATTGACATATTTAGTTTGAGTCAAGACTCCAAGTGACAAAGATCAATCCGAGATCAGGATTACTGCTGCCTCATTTATACATTACCTGTTTGGGTTGATATTTCTTTGAAGATTATTCCCCTTGGAATGCGCTCTTCTCTGGGTGCTGGTGACCCCTTGACCCCTGTTGTGACCTCTTCGCTGACATGGTTCTGTCGTCCTCTCTAAATGTTCAAAACAAGAAATGTCGAAGTATAATTGCAAACATGCCAACGCTCCCTATTTCAGAACGAGACTCCTGATTTTGAACCCTTAAATTGAGCATTTTCAACCAGTGAATCTGCTAAACTATTTCTATTTTCGAAGATCTGATGATTTCATCTGAAAGAAAAGCTCAAAAGTTGCCATTTAATAGTACCAAAACTTTTATTTATGTTTTTATTCTCCCTAATGGAAATTTCAAAAAGTTTGCAAGCATATACATTTTATTTATTTTACAACAATTATTATGAAACAACTTTTCACAACTTATTATACTAATCACTTTTGTTGGCCCGGATGTTAGCACACAGGGGGTCTTATATTAATTACTGTGGGAGGAAACCGGATTACCTGGAGAAAACCAACGTGGTCGGGCAGGTGACCCCATACCTTTTGACGTCCGATCGTGGAATCGAACCACGCGGTCGCCTTGATGAAAGGCGAGTGCACTATCCACTACACCACCCAAACACTAAGTGTGAAATTGACATGTACAAACTAAGTGAACTCACTCAAAGATAACATACGAACACTGTCCTGCTCTATCCTCATTTTATTCTGATATCTAAATAGAAGTCTAAAAGGGCTCACAAATGCTTATTTGCAGTATTTGACTTGATATTTTGAGATTTGCCACCTTTCTGAAGTTAATATTAGTATATGTAGCAAAAGATATGAAATATCGAGGTATACTCCTTTCTTTATATTTTCCTTCTATTTCCTGGATTGGGTAAAACTGATGATGTCAAATATTTAATGGGATTTTGTAATCCTATACATCTTGTATATGTTTAAATAATTATTTCTTTCTGCTTATATTATGTCTTTTTAAATAGGTATATAATTACATGTATACATGTACTTATGTCTTTTTAAATGTATATTATATATGCATATTGATATAATTATGTCTTGTTTAAATGTGTTCAGAATTTATGTGTATATAATTACATTTATGTAGATATAATATATATGTTTAAATAATTGCATGTATATTTCTATTTAATAACTTGTATGTCTGTAAATAACATTTATGTCTACATTTGAATAAAAAAGGACATTACTGGGTATGTTTATATAAATACACATTTTGTTTATATAACTTAACATATGGCCATGGAGAGTACATCGAATCACCGTCATATCAAATGAAAAATTGTCGACACCCATCAATTACACAAAGGAAAACCTATTAAAAATACAATAGTACAGATAAAATCAATTAATTAAGGGAGAAAGAAACTGCCCATATCACAGTGTGGAAGAATGGATTGATCCCATATACCTGTACAGTACTAGTGTATCATGTGTGTGAAGGATATTTCGGTCAGTATAACCTGATACCTATAGTAAGGAGGATTATGTTTAATGTCAACAAGTACTGTTTACACACGGACCTCAAATCACACAGCAAAAGATTTGTCAACTTAACAAAATAAAACTTTAAATTTTCAAAATGGGTTTTTAATTTTTTTTTTCTATTGATGAATAGTTTCTTCTTCTACTTGTTCTTTTTATGAACTTGTCTGCCTCCTGAACAGACAATGTTACTTCATATCTGTTTTTATAACTTGAGAAATATTCCAGGAAATGAAACCGAAAGAGGATAAAATTGTTGAATAAGCTTTTTTGAGGCCGTATCAGAATTACAAGGCCATGTATATATTTGTTGTGTTGTTGTCAGGGTGACAGGTACAGGACCCACTTCCTTGTGATAAGGAATGCATGTCTGCACTTAAACATACATGTTATATATACAGATAGCTTTACAAACTGATAAGGGACTTCGGCTTTCTGACGCTAATAAAAATTCCGGAGTAATTTGGTACACACATACTGCCACAACCAAATATTTTCTCAGGGTCTAGACTAATCTTGCAATTGACAATAGATTCTGTTATCAATCATAACAGATTTTTTGAAGATCAGATTTTGTTTGCTGGCTTACCTTGGCTAATACATGTACAGCTATCCACTGGGGTAAAACTGTCATTTATGAGTAAAATTCCTTAGATACATTTTTTTTTTTTTTATTAAACACATATATCTGGTTTTGGTTTTATTTGGCTGAACACATCCTATTAACAGCTAAGGTCATATTACGGACATGCCTCCATGTAATGTGTATTTTTTTGGATCTGCAGCTAAGGCTATATATATTGGTGTATCTGCCTCCTTGAAATAACACAGGTCTGAAGTTAACTTATAGTGCTACCTTGAGTTCACTGAAATACCATGCCAGAGCACACATCACAGTATTTCCTCCAGTCAAATTATATACTGATCATGACAATGAGGCAACCAGCTGTGGCAATTAACTTAAATGTTGAACTGTTCAGGACTTTGGTATATATTATGGACAATAACAAAAGCGTTACAACTATTTTTCTGTTTGTCCATTAACAATGCCACCATGCATGCATACAAACATGTGTACGCAGCGGAACTTAACTAGGTCGATTGTCTGCGACCAGGTAGCTTAATTGGTAGAGTGTGTCTGTTTACAGTTCGGAGTGTCCTGGGAATGGGTTTAAATAAAAATATAATCCAAGTTTAGCCGCTGCATTTCTCATTCTCTTACATGTATATAAACATGTGCAAGTACATGTACATGTAGTCTCACAAAAATCCCCTTGCATTAGACTCCTTATACTGCTTCGTATTCCTTCACTTTAATCCGTCATTTCATAAGTTCAATTTCCTTCTGACTTTTTGAAAAGTGTAATACTGCAACAAATATGGAATGTTTTCACTTATCACACCATTCACAATTTTGGAACGCAAATCTACATATCAAAACAAAATTTTATGAAGTTTTAGGCCAGTATAAACATTAAACAAATACTTCTGCTGAACTGCTCTACTTATTATAAACTCGTGACCAGATCCCTGACAGAAACCTTATACAGAACGTATATAATCTATTTGATCACATAATGTATGGTGTTATCCAGTGAATATACCCATGTGTCATATTTTTTGGCGAATTAACCCATGTAATCTGACCTATTAGCCCTGCAATTGGTTGTAAGTTTCAACTGTGACGTCACGCCTAGGACAAGTATATGACGTCACAGACTTTCAGGCACTGGAGTCAAAATGGCGGCTTTTCACATCTCAAGGTTACAGGAAAATTGTCGCTTTACTCTAATAACTGCCACAAATCTTGATCATGTGATATGTAAGAAAACTATTGTCATGCCGAAAAAAATGTTCCTAATGCATAATAGAGTTACGTTTAGGATCAGGGTTACGTTTTTAAGCTTATATTATTAATCAGTGTTTCGTGTCACTTCAAACATTTACATATTGAACATTAGAAGGGTATTTTTACCAGCCAAGTTACATAGGCCATGGGGACCGGAGTCATGTAATTCTATTGATTATTAGCTAGCTGTCTGAAGTGCTGTGGAGTGTACATGTGGTGGGTGTGCATTTCTTTGAACAGACATGTGTGTGCATGATTAATCCGTTTAAATGATACAACATGTACGTATAAACGTGATTTTAAATTTACGCACATTACAGCTGTTCCTAACTTACCTTCACAGGAATTTACAAGGGTATTTAGGGAAACAGTCTTGTAAAATTGATTAATTTTGGAAAAATTGTAACCTTTTATTTACCGTAATTTGGAATAATTTATGAATTCTAGACTGAATATCAGATCTTTTTTAAAATGATAGAAAATTTCCATACATTGCATTTTCCAAGGGGTTTTTTTCTTTAGGAAAAAGTGGACATTTTCCAACACTTTTTGAATTGTCTGATATATATATACTATCTATAATTCATAAAGTATCCAAATTTAAAACTAAGTTAAATAAAAAATAAATATCTTAAGAAGTTTTAACAGCTTAAAAAGCATGTACCATATGTGTTGTATCATGTCATGTAAAAAAATTGAAAATGAATAAAAAAACTATAATAATAAAAAAAAGGTGAAAACTCCCAAAAAACAATGGTTACCAGCAGCTCAGGTATGTACAAAGAATATGTGTTTGAGATTTATAGTCAACACAATGTCTGATTGATTTATTACATATATACATGTATAAAGTTTCAGGAAAACCCAAACAACCCTAATATCAATTGTTTATTTGAAACAAAACAAAAATCTTGATAAACGTCTATGAAAATTCTTTAATAACTGGACAGACTTGAAAATCTTCGCAGGCCAAACATGTTTGTTGCCTGTCCATTTTTATTTGTGTCCACGACTCTCAAGATACAAACTGTTTGAGCAATATAGGTTCAGAATTTCACCAAAATCTTTAGACCAATCAGCAACCATGACCCTGGAGTGGAAATCAAACCCTAAGGGTGGTCGGTTGGTGCAGATGTTTGAGTGCAGGTGGTCTTAGTGTGGAAGGAAACCAGAGAACCTGGAGAACACCCACGTAGTCGGGCAGGACATGACCCCCATACCCTATATGTCCGGTTGCTAGGGAATTGAACCCTGTCCGCCTTAGTGACAGGTGAAACGTTATCCACTGTACCAACTGACACCAGTGTGTCAGTGTAGTGAGACACCGGTGTGTTAGTGTAGTGAGACACCGGTGTGTTAGTATAGTGAGACAGCAGTGTGTTAGTGTAGTGAGACAGCAGTGTGTCAGTGTAGTGAGACACCAGTGTGTCAGTGTAGTGAGACACCAGTGTGGCAGTGTATTGAGACACCAGTGTGTCAGTGTAGTGAGACACCAGTGTGTTAGTGTAGTGAGACACTTGTGTTAGTGAAGTGAAACACCAGTGTGTCAGTGTAGTGAGACACCATGCCAGTGTGTCAGTGTAGTGAGACACGAGTGTGTTAGTGTAGTGAGACACCAGTGTTAGTGTAGTGAGACACCAATGTGTCAGTGTAGTGAGACACCAGTGGGTCAGTGTAGTGAGATACCAGTGTGTCAGTGTAGTGAGAAACCAGTGTTAGTGCAGTGAGACACCAGTGTGTTAGTGAAGTGAGACACCAGTGTGTCAGTGTAGTGAGACACCAGTGTGTCAGTGTAGTGAGACACCAGTGTGTTAGTGAAGTGAGACACCAGTGTGTTAGTGAAGTAAGACACCAGTGTGTCAGTGTAATGAGACACCAGTGTGTTAGTGTAGTGAGACACCAGTGTGTTAGTGTAGTGAGACACCGGTGTGTCAGTGAAGTGAGACACCAGTGTTAGTGTAGTGAGACACCAGTGTTAGTGTAGTGAGACACCAGTGTGTCAGTGTAGTGAGATGCCAGTGTGTCAGTGTAGTGTGACACCAGTGTCAGTGTAGTGAGACACCAGTGTCAGTGTAGTGAGACACCAGTGTCAGTGTGGTGAGACACCAGTGTCAGTGTAGTGAGATGCCAGTGTGTCAGTGTAGTTAGCCACCAGTGTCAGTGTAGTAAGACACCAGTGTTAGTGTAGTGAGACACCAGTGTGTCAGTGTAGTGAGATGCCAGTGTGTCAGTGTAGTGAGACACCAGTGTCAGTGTAGTGAGACACCAGTGGCAGTGTAGTGAGACACCAGTATGTCAGTGTAGTCAGACACCAGTGTGTCAGTGTAGTGAGACAGCAGTGTGTCAGTGTAGTTAGACACCAGTGTGTCAGTGTAGTGATCTTAAATGTTATTTTCGGCCATGCAAACTCAGCGTTTTTTAGCTAAATTTTACAACAGTTTTGTTCCTTTATGAATTGGGAAAATATATCATTATTTCTATTGAAATTAGGAATATTTTTCTTATTTTTTGCAAATTTTTGGGAAAATATGTCACATTTTTAGTTAGGGGAAACAGCATGTATTCTGATGTAAAACTCAGCCAAACAGAATATTTGAAAGTTGGCCTCAGGACTATAAATGATTGATTTAGTGTTTGAAGGAGCTTACATTGTACCCATTTTTTATATTGTATAAATGACATGAATGGAAGATTTTTACAATGATCTTGAACATTCAACTTCAACCAATTCCCAACACCAACCTTCTGTGTTTCCTCCATAGCTAATGATAGTTTTTGACAGATGTTACCCTTACAATAAATTCAAAAAAGTTGTATAGAATATAAATCATTTTGTACATAATGTAGGTATGTACATATGTAACTTTACGTTTGATTAAAGTTAGAGGTGACGGAGCCAAGGTCAGCTGTAGGTTTGTAAGTTGATCAGTGCCCCTGGGGTGCTTCACTTTGAGTACGAATGCAAAAATGTATTCAAGTTAATACAAAAGTTTAACCATTTCACCCCTATGGTACTTTTGTAGACTCTACCTTGCATTGATCTGGATGGGTCCATTATTTTCTTCAGTGGTGAAAGGGTAAATATATGTACATTTAAAGTAGGATGATAATCACAACATACTCACCGATTAAGTGGGTTTTTAAATTTGTGATTATGATCCTAATTCAAATAAATATTTTTGACTAATACACAACAATGATAACCTTCGTTCAGATATCAGTATTTTTTTATCTCAATTTATCAAAATTTGTTTTCAAAGTAAGAAATATGATCTTCTTGTACAGTGTCCATTTATTTTCATCCTTTCATTTATTTACTGGCAGTTTCCTTAAATGAACTTCCAGTAAAATTCTCCACCTTTATCCTTTATGTTATTATGAATAAATTTAAAGAAATCAATTAGATTTTTACCTGTACTTGTTTGCCTCTTTCTCCTTTCTTCTTTCTTTCATGGTTTTGTTCAAAAACGTTAGAAGCATCCCCTTTCTCTGACATTTTTCTAACACTGTTTTCATTCCAATTCTTTCTTTGACTAGAGTTGTCTTTTCTTGGCTGTCTCTTCCAGGCTGCATCGCCATGACTCTGGTGGCCGTTCTGAGACGTCCCTCCATCAAACGGCATTCCATTTGGCAGTGCCCCAGGAAACTCCATAGATGTAGCAGGGAGGTTTGGATTAAAGGACAATGGGTTGTTCCATTCAATGTCCACAGGAGGGGGAACACCATGGAACATGAGTTGATTAGACTGTTCCATATATTTATTAGGACCAGGCATTCTGTTGCCATGGTTACCTGGGGGAAAGAAAAAAAACATCCATGAACAGAAGATGCACACCTCCAATATTTAGATACTGGGGAACATATTTATGATAGAACAAAATTTGTTTTCACATACTGATTACAATTTTCAACTTATGTATCATGATATAGGGCATCAGCATATCGCTGACAGAAGTGCCGAGAGGCACCGACCAGTCGCATATCCGCAAAATATGAAAATATTTTACCTCCAGACATTCTGTGTTTTCTGTTTCCATGGAAACCTTGATAGCCCTGTCTAGGAGGTCTTGAACCAGGTACCCATGGCATTCTGAAAACATTAATAGGACAATTACTTACATTGAAATCTTCAAATCAGTTATTTTTTTTACAATACTGTAAGTGCTTATACAAGTGGATCCAGAAATACTTATATGAAGAAATCAATACAGTATTCAGGCAAATTAAAAATAAATCTTGAATTTCTGCTAGCCCTAGGCCTACGTACATTGTATATACCTACCCTAGATTTCTGTGCCTACCCGTAAGTTTTTATTGGCTTTTAGTGATATGCACTGTTAAATTCAGAGCTGTTGCTTTATATAAGCATAGTAAAAATATTTTCCAAAATAAAATAAAAAAATCAATACCTATACCAACCTTATTTTTTCTGAGGATGATAGCAAAATCACAAGTAATTCCTTTTTTGGCCTCACTGTAATGAGTGCCCTTGGCACTTAAAAAATTAGCTGGAGGAGGGATGCTTATTACGATAATAAAATGTGAGTTATAATTATAGAAAAGGCTGTGCAACTTAAACCACAGTCAACCTTATAAACAGTCCAGTGTGGCTGAAAGTTTCGAAAATCCAACGTTCAATGATTTTCATTGGAAGTCCACACATGATCACTGGACATTATTAAAAGTTAACGATGAGAATCATTGACAGGGTGTGTTGGTCAGGTCTGGGAGCCATCTATATCATTTAAATTTCTCCCTAGATAGGGGGATGGGTGCTAATTGTGGCAAATACAGTAAATAAAGGTGACAGCAACTTTAACATTAAACCTGGCTTCATAATATTATAGTTGGTTTGGGTTTTATTTTGTTAAACGTCCTGTTTACAGGTTGTTATATAATTTCAAGGTCATATAATGTTATATAATTTCAAGGTCATATAATGTTGTTATATAATTTCAATCAAAAGATATTGATCGTGACAGTAAGGTATTTTTCCTGATTTCCATATATAGCAAAGCGATATTGTGTTGTCTTTTGATATGTCAGGACATGATATTAAATTGTTGATCATATATATGTAAATATCACAAAATTAAATACCTCACAAACGTTCTAATTAGCATATTCAGCCAGCAATATACCCTTGCCAGGTAAGAAGGTTTGACAAAAAAATATATCTGTTACCTGTAACATGTTGGAGAAATTTTGGGTAGGTAGGCACAGTAGTTAACATTTTTTATTTTAAGAAATAATTGTATATGGTTTATATAGGAGAGTGATCTTGACTTTAACAGTGCTTCTTTGGAAATTGCCTTAAAATGTTTAGGGGAGGCACAAAACATTAGGGTAGTTAGAGTAACCGGAAACACCAAATATATTTTGTTTGGTATAAGCTAAAAAGCCTGTCCATATCTATTGCAATTCAGTAAATATGCCAACATTTATTTTTTACTGTCCTGTACAAATTATTATCCGTGGTTATAGGGCCTTTGCAACCAGCCAATATCTTTCTCAACTCCCTGGGGAGCATACAGCCGGTGCTGCCATTTCGGTTCTCATGGCTAGGGTTCTAAAATTCTAGCACTACCCAACCACATACACATTTACAGCCGAGTAGACTGGAACAAGCGGAGTAAAGTATCTTTCTCAAAGATAAGAGCCTGGCGTCCTACCACTAGACTATATACATTGTATATATATAACTACTGTGCCTCCTTAACCCTTTCACCACTGTAAACCATTAATTTTGACCCAATTTTTAATTCATATGAATTCTCTTTCCTACCTATAGTCTGTCTGCACAAAAGGGTAACAGTTTGTCATATATGACGGGATCTGCTGGATATTGACCCTTCCATCTGCTTGTGGACTCGCACCTCGAGGTATGAACACTTCAGCCTCTGGGGACAGTCCTGACATTTGATCCTGAAACACAAAATGAAAAAAATACAATACATATTCTATCATTTAATGGAAGGGTTTTACTTTAAATATTTTAACTAGTGCCCCTTCAATGGTATGTTTTAATCCCAACCTGTTACAGTGCATATTTTTTTACATCTATGCATGTGTGGTCACACTGCACTGGTAGGATTGCCAGCGACGGGTAGCTCAGATGACTTCCGTATATATATATAGGACCACCCGTCTTGAGGTCAGAGGTTGCAGGTTTGAATCCCTATTCAGGCATAATTCTGGATCGATGGGACCATGCGGCCCTGGTCCTCTCACAAATATATATACCCATAGAATAAGGTATAGAGTCTTCTCTGCCTAGCTAATGGTCAATTGTTAGAGGGAGGAATGTGGGATAACAGGACTTGGTTGATTGTTGGCAACCAATTCAATCATTGTTTTGGCCTAAATCCTGTTTGGCCCTAATGTAATAAATATTTTTGAGTAATGAATATCATTTAAATGATTTTGATTATTAAAACCTTACTGTTTTCATATTTCTTTTACAATAATAAAATGTATAATAAAAATAATCCAATTACAATATTGTGTTGTCGGAAGAATCTCATGTGTAAACGTATAACATAGATATAATGTGTAGATCTGGTCGAACATGTACGAATCTAAAGAGTGTACAGTCAAAAAGACTAAGAAAGATTTCAGAAAACTTCAAATGAAACTATATTAACCATTGCAAAACTAAACTGGCCTAAAAAAAACACATTTACACGAGGCAAACAGGATTTGCGGCAAAACAACCAGACACCTCACTATCAGTCACTCACAAGAGAAAGTCCATTAAATATAATTATATCCTTCATGACCAGGTATTGGAATCTGTCCCAGCTGCCAAGTACCTACAGTCGAACCTCAAGTGGAACACCCACATGTGACAATGTAACATCTAATGGCAACAAGGCCCTTGGTTTTCTTAACAGAAATCTCAAGATTTCAACCACCAATATCAAGGCAATAGCTTACCAGTCACTTGTGCGACCCAAACTTAAGTATGGGACCCACATACACAACGAAATACAAACAAAATTGAAATGTTCAACGACGTGCAGCTAGATACATATGCAATAACTTCCATAATACAAGCAGTGTGTCAGGAATGTTAGAATAAGAAAATCTCCATTGGCCAGCTCTTAGCTGAACGTCTTTTAAAAACACGACTTGTACGTAGCATTCTATAAAATTGTCCACTGTCTCATTGCTGTTCCTACAACTGATATCTTCTTTCCTATTGACAGTAGAACCAGAAAATCAAACTTCAGACATATATCCGCAACAAACGACACCCTTAAAAGTCCTTCTTTCCGCGCACCCTAGTCCAATGGAATGCCCTCCCTGCAGCCATTGTAGACAGTGCTACTGTAGACACCTTCAGAGATCAGCTGACTCCAGCTGTACTCGCACCTCTCCTACACTAAATACTACTTACATGTATGTATATAGTTTTATTCTAAATCCCAAAAAAATATGAAATTCTTATAAACTAATTTTGCGTCCCCCGCGCACTCCAGGTAATCTTCTTTGTCAAGAAGGTCTGGTAAAAACTATGAAGAAGAAGAGGAAGTCTGGTTACTGCTATAAGAAACTAAGGCTAACCCGTACTTAAATCGGCGGTAGGGGAAGGGTAGTACTAATATTAATACCCGGCCTCCTCTGTCCCGGCCGGGTATTAAATCGATCCCATGCCTTGTAATGGAGCAAGCCCGATGTGAATCACACCGGGGCGATTTTAGAATTAATTGACAGCACATTGGTCTGCATCCATAAATAAGGTTTTAGTATGAACTATTTCTGTTGATATCCTGCACAACTTGAAGTTTACCTCTGCCTAAAATGTCGTTAAATTATCAAGTTAACGTAGCAAGCGTAATCGAAATCTGAATTGACAGCAATGTTGGAAAGTTCATCTCTCTTCCGATATAGGTCAGACGTCCAAATATGGGTGTCATGACCCAATATGGAAATTGTAGTAATCATAGCATCAGTAGTAATACTATATTTGGCCATGCAGGCCATATATAGAAAGGATAATTGAGATAACATCACGCGTGATCTGTCATGGCGGTCGTTTCTATTTTTTTCCCCAAGACAGACTTTGTTAATTTCGTAAAAGAGTTTATGCATGGTAAGGATTCGTTTTTGCAATATTTTGATAACATTATACTCATATGAGGCGTGATTTATATGCAAGTTTACAGATTAACACTTTTGATTATGCTCCATTAGTTGGCATAGGACCGCTTCGTAGCTCTGATGACGCAATATATAAAAATATTCTCTCGTCGTCAGAAAGCTACGTTATCGCATCTAGGGGAAGGGGGGTTCTCCAAATTTCATTTGGAAGAGGGGGGCCTAATTAGAAAAAAGGAAACTACAAGTCTTTTGATATTCCAAATGATCAGGCATCGATTCCTTTTGAAATCTCAGCAGATGTTTAGAGTATTTATTTACATAAAACTAAGAGACAATCCGACACTGGATTGTTTGTCGATAAACAAATCACGTCAAAATGGACGGTCATGCCGACATAATTCTGACTGGTGACACATAATGCATGATAAAACCATGTTGAACAATTAAAGCATGATGATGATGAAATATAATAATGTCCCAGAATTTGACTTGTTTATCAGGTGGACAATTTATTCCAAGAAACACAAACATCGAATCGGAATAAATACTGAACTTGTTTCGGCAAATTTAGGATGTTTTATAACATATACGCCCATAATGCAACAGTTACTTACATTCATTTTAACGAAAATACGGGAAATGTCAGTGTTTTAACATTATCTTCCTTCTCGTGGCATCAGTGTCTCCAATTTCACTATGTTAACGTCTATTCTTGCAAAAGAGCAGATTTCTTATCGGCCATTTTACCGGAAGTTGTATGTGTAAGGGGGCGTGACCTTAAATGTACCATGTGACAAACTGATGTAAACACAACCACGTGCTCATGGTAATGGCCTATTATTAGAACACGATCGTGAGAAAATAACAGGCGTTTATCTCAAATATGTATCGAGCAATTATTGGTCTCTTTTCTATTCTAAGCAGAAAGAATATATGTGCAATGCCTCAAATAAGCGATTTAATGCAAACTATCAAAAAATAGAATTCCAAACGGACCCCTTAATGTGATGAATTCTTGTTTTAAGAAAGAACTTTTTTAAACGATCTTTTTCATTGAATGAAGGGAGCTAACTCTTACTGTCATGACCGTACGTATGATTTTAACAACTTATTAGTTCATTTCTCTTTTCTCTCTCTTTTGTCAGTTCTCTCTCTTTTGTCTTTTCTCTCTCTATTTCTCAATAATTTTGAGGAATTAATACAAAATGTGTTTCGTCTCCTTCTCTTACAATGTATTTATTTTGACGCAACCTTTGACTCCTAGCTGTCCATGTTTCTGTCACCACTCTTTTTTAAGTACATGTATATCTTAAATCCATATAACTTGCCGCTTAAAAGCACACACATCTGAAGTGAATACATGTATTCATCACGCATTGGAAAATTGAGCCTTTAGAAACTGATATTTTTGTAAATTGGGGATTATCGGTACTCACCTATTTCATTGGAATTTGAAGGGTTAATTCAAACATTTCTCATTTATAGACCGTTTAATAATCAAATGTCGCAAAAAGGCAGGGGAAGATTACTGGTACCCATATTCATGGAACCTTTCGCGTGCTCACACATATACGGGTTCTTTGCACATTCCAACTTTCTTGTATTTCGATTTTAAATCATCTAAAGTTCTTTTAATGTTGTGACACGGTCAAAAAAGTGACGTGTGAACGTTTAGAACGGTCTTCGCGGCTTAAAGTGTATCCAAGAGATAAATTCATAAATCAGTTTTTTCATTCATAAATAAATAACATAAGGAACTACATATTTATTTCACAATTTATTACCAGAGAATTGTTTCATGGTAACACTAGTAACTCCAGAGGTAACGCCGAATGCACTTTCGCTAGACGAGACGGTAAGACTAGTTTGATCCTGTGCTGTACATCAAGATCTCTGTTACATAACAGTAAAATTGATTTGCTTTGAAGTCGAGTGTCGCTCCTCTGTAATATTCAAAGGACAGGTACGTATCAGCCTAGCGATTGATCAGGCATTTTTTTTTTTACCGGAGACAAATCAAATAGCTAGCCGCGTGCCTTCAATTTAGCTATGCCATATTCCAGGGGCGCAGAGAGCGAAAGCGAGGGTAACATGTGGAGTGTCGATGATGTAGTATATATATATTTAATAAATGTAATAAAATGTTTCCTTGCTTGTTTACAGGTAAATTGGTGTAACGTGACGATGTAGATGTAGAACACATTGGTATGTCTAGTAAATAAACTAATTGGATACATATATCTGTTGCATGAGTTTTGTCGGTTTTAAAGGTTTCGTATTAAACATTTATTAAAATATACGGCAAAAATGAGTTTTTGTGATTTCGAAATTAATTTTGAAAGTATCACTTATCTTGATACCTTTGTTGCTATTTTATGGTTCATTTGTTCTCAAACTAGTAGCGATTAATAATCAAGTAACTATAAGCACGGTTATTTAGAGAGAAAACAATGATTTCAACTGGTTACGATTATTAAAATACAAACAAACAAACAAACGAATTGCCAAAGCCGTCGATTTCATGTCCGTTAAGTTCAAGATGTTTTTTTTTCTTTCTGAAAAACATGCATGATAGACAGGACCTTGGCATCATTGTACTTTCCATTTTTTGTACAATCTAGTTTTAGTAACAACAATTTTCAAAAAATTATTAGCGACATGCAAATATCAATATATATAATATACATGTTTTATCATTACTTCGATTCAATATGATGTGTGTAAACTGTTTATAACTGTAAGGAGAGGGCGCTCATAGGCTTTGCCTGTTGCCCAATTCCTTTGTATCTAAAATCTGAACAATAAATATTCTGAAATGAAAAATGACCTTGGTATCAGCACTGATAACAACGACCTAACCAAGTCCTTCAACTTCACTTTTGGAAACATTGACGACGTGTTATCTTGAACAGGAAATGTAGTGACAACGTGAGCCTATATACCCTTCTGAACATAATATGAAGGACACTTTGTACTCTTCTACATCAGCCGGTTACTCGACCTTTACATAATTACCATAAGGGACGACATCCTACTAAGCTGTATGGGCCCGACGGTTTTTATGGTGATTTTCCCTTTTCTTGATAGTAACATCCCTATGTTTACCTACTGTGTTACCATGTCGCAGCTGATTCACCTACTGTTCAAGAGCTTGTTCGGTTTAATTAATTAAGGGCGAATAACGACGGATTACACTAAAACATAGGGTTTTGAGAGATTTTGTTTTGATTTTAATGTCATATTAACATCTCGGGACTTAGTATATGGATTTTAATATGTAACGCTTGAGATTCCAATCCTTCATCAATTTACACACCTATATTTGCATTTCAACTGCAAGGTCTTCCATAAGTATTACAAGAAAAAAACTGCGATCATAGAGCTATTAAGGTGGCTCCACACATCGTCATCAGCGTCCATTTTCGTGACGTACTTCCGGAAAAAGTACAGCTCGGACTCAATTATCTTGATCGAATTGTGCATGTACACCGTGTCGTCATTTCCGTATTGTGTATCGGGCATTCAATATCGTAGTGCAAATTATAGTAACACCTGGGCCGTTTTCGTTTAAACGGTCAAACCAATCGGACCACTGTTGTTCGTTTATTAAATAAGGTCGGACCTAGTAATCTGATGCTGCTTTAAGGCGAGCCTTGAGAAAGCCTTGCAAGGCCTGCATACACATTTGCAGGTCCGCCAGGATTTATACCCGAAAGTGTTACATTTATAAACGGTCAAACCGGTTGTTCCGCATAAACGAACAGGCCCCTGGTAAACAATAGTACACGTACGTGCCGATGATATGTGAACACCCGATATCGAGATTTTACCGGGAAATGTATAATCACACGTACTTCAGGAATAAAGTAGACTCACGGGAAGACAGTAACATGAGACCAGACGACCTCAAGAAGGTCATATAGGAAACACATGGAATGCGGACGTACCGACCTCACGTTTCGAGCAGTGGAGGTCGTTACGATTTTCGCTGTTGAGGCAGTTNCTGACATGTAATTATAAATATACCGTGAGTTAGCGGACTGTGGAATGATGTCCAAAGTGTACATGACTGAGGGTAATTTGGTTCCATTAAAGAACAATAAATTGATAATTTTGATATCATATTTTTGATTTATTTCCATCATTTTTGTTATATGTAAACAGAGACAACTGTCATTGTGTAAATGTCATCCCTCTGCAAAAAGTTCCGATTTTTTTCAAGGAAGATAACTCTCACCCGGATCAAAGTGATTGTAAAATGTAAAATACATTAATTATAAAGCCATTGTGTATATTTTGTTCAATTTCCCATTCTATATGTATAGATCTTTGTGTCCTGTTTGCTTTTAGCTTGAAGATAATCACTTTTATCCGTACAAATTCAATAAAAAACACTTTGTGTAACATGCGTTACATATTTTGCGATAAATAAAATATTTTAGGGTTAATTAGAAATGCTTCTTATCATTTTATTATTGTTGTTAATGTTCCGAACAATGCCACACACAAAAAACCCGGAAAATATTAAAATTGACGAAAATTCAATTTTTGGGTATTTTTTCCAAAAAAGTCCCCAAACTATCGGAATGTTTAGATTTTCATAAAATCAACTCTACATAGTTGCATAACCATTATATGAAAGTTTCAACGAATTTTGCTGGTTAAATGCGAAAGTGTGGAGCCACCTTCACGCAATTTGATCAGCGTCATTTTGACGCTTCTCCTCCCTCCTGGAATAACACGAGACAACAACACACATGTTGCTGACGTTAGGCTGTGTCAGGAATCTCGGTTGTATTGAGGACAGACACATGAAAATCGAAGAAACAATGGAATATCTATTTAGGGTCGAAACTAATTAAAAATTTACATTGTAGATATAAAGATTAAACGACTTTTTAACTGTTTTTTCCTGCCGTTCAGTCCTTATATACTTATATCTAAGTATAACCCTTTCACCCCTATGTAACTTAAGTAGACTCTACCATGCATTGATATGGATGAGTCCATTATGGTCAAGAGTGGTGAAAGGGTTAAGTGTCATAGGTCCTTGAGACCTGTGCACTAATTGCTTTACAGAACAAGAGGCCCCGTGGGCCTTAACGGTCACCTGAGTCCTACAGTATCTATTTTTGTTGTTGAAATATGTACCAGTTTGAGTAAAAAATAGTTAAGTATAACTTTAACTTAAGTTTGTCAGGACCATGAGCTGATCATTCATAGACCGAGTTTCAGTTTATTCGGCCTATCAAAACTTGTTTTTAAGTTTTAAATAGTTATTTTCAAAACAGCGGCCGTGGCAGCCAAATTGGATTTCTGATCGACCCGAAAGATAACAACACTTTGTCAGGATCATGAGTCGATCATTCCGAGTAAGGTTCAGTTCAACCGGCCCAGCAGAACTTGACTTTAAGTTTGAAATAGCTTTTTAAAATGGCGGTCGTGGCGGCCATATTGGATTTCTGATCGACCCGCAAAATAACAAGACTTGGTCAGGGAGATGTCAGTAACCTTCCCATGAAATATTAATGAAATCTCTTTGCCAGTATTTCAGCTTAAGTTGAAAATGTAAAATGTTAACGGACGACGCAAGACGCACGACGACAGACGAAGACGGATAGCAACAGGTCACTTGAGCTAAAGTTCAGGTGACCTTAAGAAGATGTAGCTGCCGTAGGTTGAGCAAAATAAGCTGGGGTGTTGGGATGGGGGGCGGGTTGATAAGACCCTAACGACCTATTGTGTTACCA